ATGGTAGGCGCATGCCTGTAATTCCAGCTACTTGGAAGGCTGAGGCGGAAGGATCGCTGGAGCCCAGCAGAGAGAGGCTGCGGTGGCTGGGAGCGGCCACTGCGCTCCAGTCTGGGTGACAGAGTGAGACTCCAACTCAAAAAAAAAAGAAGTCACATTCAGAATTTTAGTTCTGTTGTTATTCTTCAGAATTCCTACGTGTTTTGGAATAGCTATAAGCAGGCCTAGCCTGTTCCCAAAACCAAAACACAGGAGCCTTTTGTCTGTTACTACCCCTAGTTAGATCTTCCGTCATGCCCATAGACTGCCCCTTGTTCTTTCTAAGTATTGTGCAATATTCTTTTTAGAGAAACTCTTCAGTACCTGTTTGTACCTATAGCGTTAAGTCATGAGTAGTCAGATTTATGCGCTTACTGTTTCTTAAGACTCTTGAGTTTTCTCATTTGGCCACTGTGATCTATCAGAGTTGGAAGTCGTCTTCCCTCTGTCCATATGCTGGTGGCCCCTAGTGAAGAAAACAAAGTGATTTTGGCTGATAAATTGTTGGGGTCTTCATTGGCAGGTAAAGGAACATCAGCATGAAGAAATTCAGAATGTTCGAAACCACATTCATTCATGTTTCTCCGACGTCACCTGCTTTCTCTTACCACATCCCGGACTCCAGGTGGCCACAAGTCCTGATTTTGATGGAAAATTAAAAGGTGTGTTGCAGATGTTGTTATTTATTTATTTGTTTTTGAGTTGGAGTCTTACACTGTTGCCCAGACTGGAGTGCAGTGGCACGCTCACTGCCACTGCAACCTTGACCTGCTAGGCTCAGGCAACCCTTATATCTCAGCGAGTAGCTGGGACTACAGGCATGTGCCACCACTCCTGGCTAATTTTTTGATTTATTGTAGAGATGAGGTCTCACCAAGTTGCCCAGGCTAGTCTCGAACTCCTGAGCTCAGGCAATTCTCTTGCTTCTGCCTCCCAAAGTGCTGGGATTATAGGCGTGAACCACTGTGCCTGGCCTAATATGTTGTTTTAAAATTCAGTTTCATTTTTATCATATTGTTCAGGAAATAGTTTTTTAAAGTTCTATAACCCTGACTTTTGAAATTTTGTATTACTTTGGGAATGCATATCGTATTAAGCGGGATGGTTTAAGACAGCAGAAATGTATTCCTTCATAGGTCAGGAGGCCAGAAGTCAGAAGTCACGGTTAGTCACACCTGGAGGCACTGAGGGGAAACCTGTCCCATGCTCTCCTAGCTTCTGGCCTTCTTTGGCTTGTTCCTAGATTTGCCTTCAGTTTCTGTCTTCGTTGCCACGTGGCCATCTTCTCTACATGTTTTTTGCTTGTTTGCTTTTATTTTAAAGATACGGGGTGCAATTCAGGGCTAGGTATACAAACGTTGATTATGCTGGTGCCCTTGCTGATGAGGTGTTGCATCTTGTCTTTGTTAAGCACGCCAGTCATGGGATTCAGGGCCCACCTTAATCCAGCATCACCTCATTCTAGCTAATCACATTTGCAAAGACTGTTTCCAAAGAAGATCGCATTCCAGGGTTCTGGGTCAACATGCGTTTTAGGGGGGAGACACTGTTCAACTCAGAACACTTATGAGGATTATGAATGGTTTAATCAATATTAAGTGTGCTAAGCTTCATGTTTATTACTTTTATAAAATAGGAAACAAATTCTGTATAAGCAATCTTTAATCTTATACTTATCTACTGTTTGGTTTCCTCATCCAAGATAGAACTATAAAATATGTTTAAATTCTCCTTCCTTACATGAAAAAGCAAGTCCAAAAATAAGTAATACAAATAGTATATTAATATATTGATGAAAACATGTGTAACATCACAGTAATCAAGAAAGCCCAAAAATATTGCTATAAATTATAGTTTTCATGGATGGTAGGGTACCACCATCAGACTCAAATGTTCACATCCTTTGACCCAGTATTTCACTTTTAGTTTACACTAAGGTTACACTAAGGAACTGCCTAAATAAGTGGATAGAAGTATATGTCTCAGGATATACTCTGTGGTAGCATCATATAGTGGGGAATAATTGGAAACAGCTTAAATGTGTCCTTATGAGGAGTTGGTTACATTATGATACCTCTGCACAAAGGAATAAAATGCAGTCATTAAAAAGGATAAGATGGTTAGATGAATCTCTGTGTGTTTCCATAGAACGATGTCTATGATAGTAAATGTAGAAAAATTGCAGAGTCACACTTGTGGCATGATCCTCGTTATTTAAAAAGTATATTTAGGCTGGGTGTGGTGGCTCACACCTATAATCCCAGCACTTTGGGAGGCCAAGGTGAGAGGATTGCCTGAGCCTGGGGGAGTTCAAGACCAGCCTGGGCAACTTGGTGAGACCTCGTCTCTACAATAAGTCAAACATTTAGCTGGGCATGGTGGCGTGTGCCTTTTGTTCCAGCTGCTTGGAAGGCTGAAGTGGGAGGATCACCAGAGCCTAGCAGGTTGATGCTAGGGTGGCCGTGAATGTGCCACTATTCCAGCCTGGGTGACAGAGTGAGACTCCAACTCCAACTTCCAACTCATATATATATACATATATATACATATACACATATACACATATACATACATATATATGTGTGTGTGTGTATATATATGTACTTTTTTAAATGAAAAGATTTGAAAAATGAAAATTTCCTTTTCTACCTCTCTTTAAAAATATCTGCACTGTGTATTTATTTAATGAACTATAGTGGTTATGAGGATTGTTTATGAAGAATTCTTACTGGAATTCTTACTAGCTCTGCAAAGGTTTAAGTACTTTTTAGGTTGGAGGTGGATATTTTGTAATTTGGAGAAGCTTTCACCCAAGAGTTCTGAGTTGAAGAGCAAATTGGTCACTACACTGCAAAGACGCTGCCGGGTGGTACATGCCTGTGGTCCCAGCTACTCGAGAGGCTGAGGCAGCAGGATCGTTGGAGCCCAGGAGTTTGAGGCTGCAGTGAGCTATGATCATGCCGCTGTACTCCAGCCTGGGTGACAGACCAAGACCTTGTCTTTGAAAAAAAGAAAGAAGATGAAGAAGAATATATTATAAATAGCAGGTGACTTGGCAAGTGCTAGCTTGAGAACCACACAAACTTTGTGAGAAACCTGGGTGTAGAGCTGATGTATTTCTCAGCGTTAAAAAAAAAAAAACAAAAAAACTTAGATGTTTGTTATATATTTGTATAACTGCTTGGTTGAGATTCTGCAGTCCTGTTTCATATAACTTGGGAAAGACATTAGCCTGAGAATGTTTAGCGTACATGCATAAAATGAACTTAATGTAGTTTTTGTAGAATGTTTAAATTTTACTTATTTATTCATTTTTGAGTTGGGATCTCACTCCGTTGCCCAGGCTGGAGTGCAGTGGCATGGATCATGGCTTACCACAGCCTCCACCTCCTGGGCTAAGGGCATTTTTCTGCCTCAGCCCCCCAGTCGCTGGGACTCCAGGTGCATGCCACCACACCTGGCTAAGTTTTTGATGTTTTGTAGAGACAAGGTCTCATTATGGTGCACAGGCTGCTCTTGGACTCCTGGGCTCAAGCAGTCCTCCTGCCTCAGCCTTCCCAAGTGGTGGGATTATAGGCATGAGTCACTGCACGTGGCCAAACATTTAGACTTCTAAAGCTGTTTCTTTCTGAAAATATTCCCTCCAATACTTCCGGAATTTCTTTAGTGGTTTTATCTTATCTTGCTTTTGAAGACTGATCACTTATGCAGAGGTAACATCTGCCAAACATGATCTCAATTTTGGCACAATTAATGCTGAGCAGCTTTTTGCAGTAATTAGCTAGATTAGCTGCTCTTTGGGAGTCCTTTTCATGAGACACAGGGTGACTGTGTCATCAGATAAAGAAAACTGTCTTCTCATGTATGTGACAGGGAGACCTAATACAGTAACTACAGAGTTGTTTACTTAGAAATTAAGAAGGAGCGGGGCTCGGTGGCTCAGCCTGTAATCCCGCGCCTTTGGTAGGCTGAGGTGAGTGGATTGTCTGAGCCCGCAGGTTCGAGATC